TCCACTATCCAGCAGATACTTCAGATTTTCTTTGAAACTTATGTGCTGCGACGTTTGCCTCGGGTTTACAAAATCCTATAAAAATCCTGCCTGGGTATTATAACTTGGATCACTCCCAAAGTGCCCAGAGCACCATTTTGTTCCTAGACCATCCGGTGACATGGTATTGCTGCAATAAATACATCATTGGAATGCCCAGATAGGTTTTCCTGTCGCTGCCCAGTAACTGCTTCCCAGAATCTTCCTTTTGTGTCCACATCTACTGCGAAGTAGAGGGCGTGTGGCTTCATGCGCAGCTGTGACATTTTAAAACCTTTTTCTAAAGGTGGATGTTGCCTTGAGAACTATGTTCTGTTCAGTGTGAAGGAGACTTTTATCTTTTATATAATCATTTCCTTGGCAAAAATATATTAATAGAAACTGACCTCACAGCTTGTCTTTTTAAAGTGATTTTGGCTGCTATTTTTTCTTTTCTCCCATGTTAGCTGCCTGAAAATTAAGCATTTGATAGAAACTATAGGTTGATAGATCTAGTAGGTCTGGGTTGTCATAATCTTGATTATCATCACCAGACGTTATATTAAGAACTTGCTATGAGGGAGGTGGTATGATTTGTACATATTACAGAGTGCAGGCTGGGGCAGCCTGGCTATGAATCCTCATTCCACCACTTCCTACGGAACCTTGAACCCGTTATTTAGCCTTTGTAAGTCCCAGTTTCTTCCTGCATGAAATGGAATTCATATTCTTTACATGCTAGGGTGACAAATCAGATGATCTGAATAAAAGGCCTAGCACAGTACCAGGCACACAGTAGTAGGCCCTACCATGTTAGGATCTCTCAGTATTGTTATAGTCCCGTGACGAGGCTGTGGTGGATAGCTGACACTTACGTAACACTATAATGTATCAGATACTGTTCTAACTGCTTTGCAGCTATTAACTCATCAAATCCTCAGGCCTACGAGGTATTATTATCCCCATTTTACAGATGAAGAAACTGAAAGAGATTGAGTTGCCCCAAAATCATACAGCTAAGTTGATCATCCAGGACTAGAGCGAGGCAATCTGGTCCCAAGTCCATGCCCTTAACCATCAGGTTATATGGCTTCTCATACATACCCTGCCTCTCATTACATGATGTGGCCTGAAGTTATCCATCTGACTTTTTCAGGGAAAAATGCGTGCAGCAGTCTTTCTGTGTGAGCTATTTTATCCACTGGGCAAGAATTAGGAGTGAAGTTGGTATTTGTAAGAGGCAGTTTTCCATTTGGGTTTTGATCTCAAGTCCAGCTTAGCCACCCTATCTTCCCCAAAGTTAAGACCCATCAGTCCTTTGCTAAGCTCAGAAATGGGTTTCCAAGTTGGTCTTTAGCTTTTATGGAAGAACAGGGGGAGTACCCAGGACAGAAAATGACACTGAAAATTTCAATTAATGACAAAACTGGGCACACATAAGAACATTCTTAAGGAAAGATAAGAGGGAGAGGGCCTTCCTGGATGGATGGAAAAATAAGGTGATCTGTCTTCATAAGGACCCAGGATATAGCCATTGGACAGGATATTTAGTATGTATGGATTTCATTAAAATAAATTATTTCAGATCATTTTCATTTTGAATTTATAGAAACCACAAGTTAAGTGATTCAGAACCCAAATGAAACTACAAATCTACAAAAATCTATACTTATGGTATAAACTATGGCCTCTTTATAATTGGCCAGTAATTTATATTTGCTAGAGGAAGAAAGGTTTAAAACACAGAGGCTTTAGAGCCTAAGACCCTTGGGTTTTATTTCCCCTGTCCTACTTCCTACCTTTGTGACCTTGGCCAAGTTACTTCACCCTGCCAACCTTTAGGGTCCCAATCTGTGAAATGGGAATGATAATATCTGCCTCTTAGAGTTGTTGTGAGCATACACTAGGGTAACATGTAGAATGCTTGGCATATAATGGCCATTCAGTAAGTGAGAGTCATCATCATATTAGGCTTCAAGGAGAAAATCCTAAAGCTACTTTCATGAAACAAACTATTTTAATAGAAATATCTGCAAGACCCAAGAAACAAGAGAGTGAATGTTGAATGATGGCAGTTAGGGCTTTGAGAGTGGTGCAGGGGCTCATCATGTTTAAGGACAAGGAACCCTTCCTCGGGGCGCCTGGGTGGCTCAGATGGTTAAGCGTCTGCCTTCAGCTCAGGTCATGATCCCAGGGTCCTGGGATCGAGTCCCACATCGGGCTCCTGACTCGGCGGGGAGTCTGCTTCTTCCTCTCCCTCTGCCTCTCCCACTGCTCATGCTCTCTCTCTCTCTCTCTCTCTGTATCTCTGTGTCTCAAATGAATAAATAAAATCTTTAAAAAAAAAAAAAAAAGGAACCCTTCCTCATACTCCCTGCCTCCCCTGGTTACCCTCGTCGTGTTTCCTAGGCAGCCACAGAGACTGGAAGGAAAGAGTGCAAAGGAGACCAGCCTGATATACACCCCGATGCAGCCAGGCCTTGGCTCCCAGAGATCAGGAAAGTGGTGGCTTATTTACAGTCCAGCTGTCAGGTAGGCAGACAGCTTGAGAAGCCCAGCCCCCTGTACACTGTGCTCAGAGTCAGACTAAGCAAGCCTAAGTTATAGGGTTACTTAAGATGCAAATAGCGATCTACATAAACAGGTAAATGTCTTGTTTTGATTAAATGATCACATGTGAAAGACCCATTACAGAAGCTACAATGTGAGATAATTATGGTATCCTCAGAAAAATGGCATAGTAATAGAAATCAGGGACTTGTAAGTATATATGATGTATTTTAAATTATAAAAGTAGCCTTTATTTATTATAGGAAATGTGAAAAGTACAGAAAAACACTAAGGAAAAATAAAAACGCTCATTATCCCACCATCCAATATAAGCACTATTCACATATTGGAAATAACCTTGCAGTCTTTTTTTTTCCCCTGGACTTTACACATATTTTGTCACAATTACAATCTTCCTACACGTATTGTGTTATAATTTGCTGGTTTTTCATAAAGTAGCATACTGTAAACATGTTTTATAAAATTAAGTATTTTTGCAGCATCACTTTTAATATCTTTATGGTTTTTCATAATATTTTGTTTAACCAGTCCCCTGTTGTTATATTTAGGGTGTTCCCAAATTTTGGCCATCATAAAAAAGTGCACTATTATAGCTAAACTTTGTACCCAATTTCCCTGTAAATTCATAGAAGTGGATGTCAGTGTCTGGCACACTGTGTTGCTGGGAGGTACTGGGGGTGGGCAGTCCGAGATAGTTTAACAGGCCAGTGCCTTAGAAAGCAGCTCTCTAGGTTCAGCGGTGACTCCCTTCCCCTCATGGGCTTGAAGAGGCCCAAAGCTATGAAAGGTGGGTGCTGGGAGGGGAAAGGAAGGAAAGGAGAGGGTACATAGGAATCTACTCACCAGTTAAGTTTTCTGAAAGTTCAGCTGGGCATGATTTTTCTGTGATTACTTTCCCCCAGTGAGTGTGGAGGGATCAGCAATCAGCAGCAAACATGCCTGGTAATTGAAGATGTCAGTGATAGGTGACAGCCATCGGAGACCTTTATTTGCTAAATATTTTTGAAATGAAAATGTAACTGTATATAATGTTGAAATACAGTACCCTCATGACCTGAACATAGTGTATTAGAGTTTATGTGAATTGTGTAGGCTTCTGAGTATGTATTTGTGTAAACAGTTAGATAAGTGTTTTGAACATTGTTGACTTAGTAAAAGTTTAAGAGCTACAAGTAGTGTACAAAAGACTCAATGTGTGTAAGAACTCTGAGACTTGCTAATGACATACCAATTAGAGAAAAGATAGACTATCCCATGAAACTGACATGACACGACAGTGCTCTCGATGAACGTAGTACATACAGGAGGAGAATGACATGGAGGAGGTGAGTGAAATGCCTCCAACTAGTGAAGGAGTAGTACTGGATATGAATAACAACAAGTTGACAACAGCTGAAGAACATATCTAAAAATATGTGTTCCGCCTGGGAGCCCCGAAGGCCTCTGATGCTTTCCTCAGATCTCTTACACCTCCCCTCTGTCTGACCAAACACGCCTTTCATAGTCAAAATAATAAGACAGTTTCTTACGCCTCTAATCTTTTCAATAACCATTAACAACAGGAGCAGTCTTTTGAATCTGATCATTGGACCTGTTAGGTGTTATCTGAGAACAAGATTGTCATTTGGCTTGACAAAGAAATACATGAATAAATGTATAAAATGCCCCAGTGTTTTATTAAGATCTGCCAGAACCCCCTGTGTGACACAGGCTAGCTAGTATTCCTGGTTTTCAGTATTATTGAACCCGTGTCTTTGTGTTTTCATGAATGTTTCAACAAAAACATGAATCAGCAGCTACTGTCTATTACCATAACCCAGAAATCAGAGATTTTTTTTTACCTCACCTGCGTTTTAAATTTTTAAAAAATTTTGGGCTGTCGTCATATTAGAGTTCTAAACATACTTTATTCCTGCTTATAATTGATTATTCATTATTATATAATGATTATTAATAAGTACTTCTATAGGAGTGCCTCCTATGAGGCAGGTGCCTTACTAAGTATTTTTCCTGTATCATCTGTAATCTTCACAATAATCCTTAAAGTGTAAGTATCCCCCCATTACATATTAGGAAACAGAGGCTTGGAGAGGGTAGGTTATTTGCTCATATCTGAGAAACCGTGTAGCCATGTTGTGATTCCAAGTCAGGCCAGCTCAAAAGCCATCTACCTCTCACCTTGTTTGGGGGAGCTGAGCAAAAACGGAGCTGATAATAGAACAAACAAGTGTGTAAAAACCTTGTGGAAAAAAACCCCAAACTCTTCCATCTTGGATAGCTAGACCCCCTCAGACAGACTTCAGCAGTTTGCCTAATGCTTTATCAGCTTTTCGCCAGTATGTGGTGTTTTTTCAATGTTAAATTCATTGTTTCAGACTTCCTCCCCTCCTCCTGCCCCTTTGATCTTCCAGGCCCTCAGTACCGCCTGGAGAAGCAGAGCGAGCCCAATGTCGCCGTGGACCTGGAGAGCACTTTGGAGAGCCAGAGCGCATGGGAGTTCTGCTTGGTCCGAGAGAACAGTACGTTGGCCTCCTCGCTCCATGCCCGCTTTGTCCGTTGCAAACATGCTTAGGAGTCCTGTGTTTGGGAACACTCACTGGTCTGGCTTCTCTAGGCAGATTTGAAATGACTTTGTTTTCCAAGGCAGATCTCAGCCTTTGTGCCAAAAGTGTGTGCCAAAGTGAAATGATTGATTTTACGCATTTTGGTAAAAAGTCTGCATCCTGTTTAGCACTGTGTGATTAATATTTTTCTGTTAAGCTGTATCTTCCTAAGTTAGGAGCAGCCCTGGAAACAGCTTAGAAATAAATATGAGGCCTTTTCTGAGGCAAAGACTATTTTGTATATAAAACAACTGGCCTTGTCAGTATCACTGCTCAGACTTCTAGTTTTAGAAAATTCTGTTTGCATACTCCTTAGTAGGAGGCAGTGTAGTGGTTCCTAGAGCTATGCTGTAAGCCTTTTTGAAACTTCAGTTCATTTCTTCTTCAGTTTCCGTGTTGTGAATCTTTACCACTCCCTCCTCTATAGTCCCACTGATTCAAGGGACAAGGACGTGAAAACTGAGATTATGGCAGCCAACTCTCGCTGTCATTCCTGCTTTGGGTCATTTACACAGGCTATTTCTTCTGCGAGGAACACACTTTCCCCCACTCCAGTTAACTGTTTCTCATCTTTTGTCTCAATTCAAATGTCACATCTTCAAAGAGGCCACCTGTGATCCCCCCACCTCCCTCACCTAAACCTGATCCATTCCTCACTTGGATACCCTATTCTATTCTGTCATAGAGCATACTACTTTTTCTTCATTAGATATATTTCTGCTTATAATTATATATTTTTCTCAGTGATCATTTCATGTCTTATCTCCCCCACTAGGTTGTCAGGTCTGTGAGGGTATCCTTGACCCATAAAGGTTGTCCCTCATTATTTCAGCAAATATTCACTCATCATCCACTACAAGCCAGTACTGAAGGAGCTTAGTAAGTATAAATTGAATGAGTGAATGAATGTCAATTTTTAGTCACTGACCCTCTAAGCAAGACCAGCTTGCTATTCACTGACCACGGGCCCTGACAGCCTCTGCTGGAGAGGCATGCACAGATTTCATCAGGATGGTGAAACATGATCTTTGCATTTAGCAACAGATTCTCAAAGGCAGAAGGTTGGTATCCCCACAGTCGGCAGCCAGTTATAAGTATCTTATATAAATATACAAGGAAATAAAAATCAATTGAGTCCCGCATCGGGCTCCCTGCTCAGCCGGGAGTCTGCTTCCCCCTCTGCCCTCTTCCCTCTCGTGCTCTCTCTCATTCTCTCTCTCAAATAAATAAATAAAATCTTTAAAAATAAATAAATAAATAAAATCTTTAAAAAAAAAAATCTTTCTAAAAAAAAAAGGCTACCTTAGTCTTGTTACCAAACCCTAATAAAGACTATGCAACACAGAAAATTTAAATAGATACAAATATCCTAAACAAAATATTAAACTGAATCCAGTATTATATTAAGGGAATAATATAGCAGTCCCCAGTTGGGTTTATTCAGAAGAGTACAAGGTTAGTGTGACATTAGGAAAACCCAGTCAAGGGGTGCCTGGATAGCTCAGTCGGTTGAGCATCCCGACTCTTGATCACGACTCAGGTCTTGATCTCATAGTTGTGAGTTCAAGCCACGCACTGGGCATGGCGCCTACTTTAAAAAAAAAAAAAACAGTCAAGATAATTTGCCACAGTAACAGTCAAAAGGATAATCATCTCAGGAGATGTAGAATGTTATTCAGCTCTTATAAGTTGTGTTTAACGAGAGTTTTCACAATGGGAGAAATAACTTTTGGTGTAAATTAAGGAGGAAAAATATCAAGGATACAAAATAACACATATGGACTAATATCTACTATGTAAAAACAAACCAAAAAGAGTAGAAGGAAAATGACAAAATATTAATAGTGGTTGTCTCTGGTTGACAAGATTCTGGGTAATTAATTTTCCTTCCTCTTTATACTTTACTTATAGTTTCCAGAGTTTCTATAATGAACGTGCATGACTTTCTAAGAAGTAAACAAGCAATAAAGTTAAGTTCACACAGATAAAGACTACATAAAAGAGTAGCTCTTGGGGCACCTGGGTGACTCAGTCAGTTAAGTGTCTGCCTTCGGCTCAGGTCATGATCCAGGGACCTGGGATTGAGCCCCGCATCGGGCTCTCTCTTCATCAGGGAGTCTGTATCTCCCTCTCCCTCTGCCCCTCCCCCCTGCCCGTGCTTTTTCTCTCATGCTCTTTCTCTCTTTGTCAAATAAATCTTAAAAATAAATAAATAAAAACGAGTAGCTCTTAGTTTAACAATCCTTATGACACTTGAGATCTAAAACCATGTATAGGGGCGCCTGGGTGGCTCAGTTGGTTAAGCGACTGCTTTCGGCTCAGGTCATGATCCTGGAGCACCCGGGATCGAGTCCCACATCGGGCTCCCTGCTCAGCAGGGAGTCTGCTTCTCCCTCTTCCGCTCCTGCCTCTTGTGCTCTGTCTCTAAAATAAATAAATAAAATCTTTAAAATAAATAAAAAATAAAATCATTGTATTCGTAAAAGAAGCCCTTACCAGCATTTACAAAGAGCACAAGGCAGTCAGTGGTTTGGAATCAGTGGAATATTATAACTAATATTCGTAAAATGGAAGTAAATTATAAAAGCAGTTTATTCCTTTTCTAGAGAAGGTTTTTTAATATTTTGTTTAATTTTAAGTAGAAATTCCATTGAAACAAATACTATTCTCCCACAGCTACATATTAAGAAGTTGGATTGAGACAAAATATTTCAGAATAGAATTTTTTGTTTGTTTGTTTCTATTGGTATGTTTGATCAGGACAGGCTTGCTGTCCATAAAGCCGTTTTAGTGGTGAACTAAATTATGAGCGTCTATCATGCAGTGTTTAAGAGACTGTGCTGTTGAGCCAAATTACCTCGGTTCACATTCTGGCCGTGTCACTTACTGGGTGTGGGACCCTGGACAACTTACTTAACCTCTCTTGGGTAGTTTATCTGCCTTCATAAGGTTGACGGGATTCAGTAAGTTTTAATAATCATAAAGCTCTTAGAATGGTGCCTGGCACATAATAAACACTCAATAAATGTTAATTATAATTAATAGATAAAACAGCATTCTGTGGCTGACAGAGCAGATGGGCACAGATGTGGAGGTCTGGAATCATAGACCTGTCGGGGCCCTCAAGGAGATGTGTGATGGGGGGAGGAACTGATACAGAATGGAGGGAGGAAGGGGAGTGGAGAGCAGGCAAGTCTGTAAGTCTGTGTCATAAGACCAGAGAACTTAGAAGCAGGGTACTTGGGTGCCTGGGTGGCTCAGTTGTTAAGCGTCTGCCTTCGGCTCAGGTCATGATCCCAGGGTCCTGGGATCGAGCCCCACATCTGGCTCCCTGCTCAGCGGGGAGCCTGCTTCTCCCTCTCCCACTCCCCCTGCTTGTGTTCCCTCTCTCGCTGTCTCTCTCTCTCTCTCTCTCTCCATCAAATAAATAAATAAAATCTTAAAAAAAAAAAAAAAAAGAAGCAGGGTACTTTCCACTCTTTGTTGTCCCAGAGAGATGTATACATGTATACCTTATAAGTAAAACCATTTGATTGAGCATACTGCCATAAGGGTTGATATAAGCCTTTCCGTTTTTCTTCCAAGGAGGGATGGTCATAACTTTTTATACCAACCACATCAAAAGGTGTTTCATAAATTACTTATTTAGGCCTTCTATTGTAAATACACGTTGTGCTAGACATTTTGCAAACGCTCTCTTATAATTTTCACAACTACCCTAATAAGATACCTTTCTAATTGTGGAGAGAGGTTGTGACTTGTGCAAAGTTAGCTAGCCAGTGATAGAACCAGAATTCTAGGTCAGTTGTCTGATTCCAAAGCCCACCCTGAGATTGTTGATAAAATAAACTAAATTTTCAGTCCTAAGAATTGTGATGACAATTGTCTTACACACTATGAGAGAGAAGCTTGCTAATGAAGCTGATAATGACAAGAGTTTCTGCCTGGGGACTGAGAGTTAACATTTGTGCTTGGATCTTGGCCTAAAAAAGAAAATGACAAGCCAAAGTCCTTGAGCTTTCCAGTTTGGATTCTTGTCTGATAATCTACTATATCCTTCAGCCAACTGTCTGCCAGAAGCTGGAATAAGACCAGAAGGAGGCATGGAGTACATTATGGAGAGGATGTAACGGTAGAAGACTTCCATTCTTGTCCAAGCATCTATATAAATCCTGGCACCTAACTGAGCCTCACTTTCCTTTTGTGCCAAATGTTGCCAGTGACCTTTTCTCTTACCCACTGATCATATGTAGGTAGCCCACCCAGGTCCTTAGAAGAAAAATGCAGCACGAACCAACTTATTCTTTGCACAACTTTAAGAGAGAAACTCGGGAATTTTCCATCATCAGGAAAGCAGGCCTGGAATTAAACTGGCTTCGTGGAGTACCAACAAAATGTCAGACACTGTCTCTTTACTGTCTGATCACTCAAGAGTCTGTCCTTGTCGCGTAGGGCTTTAAAAGTTATGCCTCCGCAGCCTCTAACGTCAGGCCAATCAGGTCATTTCTCTGAGCCTCAGTTTCCTCTGTAAATGGAGGTGGTTGAATCTATTTCACAAGGGTTTTTTGAGGATTAAATGAGATACAAGTTCTGTCATTGTAATGACCTTTTAGGCCACTGTGCTCATCATCTTTATTTTATAGAAGAAACTGAGGCTTAAAGGGGTGATTTGCACTTGATCGCATGAATAATAATTGGGGGTGGGAAGCTGGAAAACTGTATCTTCTGTCCAGTAATTCTAGTGCAACAGTTGAATCTGATTATTTTATTTTCCTTTTTTTTTTTTAAAGATTTTATTTATTCATCTGAGACACAGAGATACAGAGAGAGAGAGCATGAGCAGGGAGAGAGGCAGAGGGAGAGGGAGAAGCAGGCTCCTCACTGACTGAGCCAGGAGCCCAATGTGGGGCTCGATC